CTCCCACAACACACAGATGGACTGGAAAACAATAAGGTACACACCACAACGACATTCAAAATAAAAAAATAACAAAACTTCAAGAAGAAATAACAAAAACAAAACAACGTATTTGAAATTAGACAACCATGAAAGGTGCTGCATGTCCTTTTTTTCACATGCTTGCTTCGATTACGATCGGCAACGCATGCCACCGCGACATGTGCATTGACAACATTTTGAAGACAGTGGGCACATCATCATCCATTTCATTGATCGGAGACCAGCGAAGACCACAACTTCATCTCCATAACACATGTTCAATCCACGTCATGACAAACCGAAACATTCTGCTCTGCTTGTGTGCGTGTGTGTGTGTGTGTGTGTGTGTGTGTGTGTGTGTGTGTGTGTGTGTGTGTGAGAGAGAGAGAGAGAGAGAGCATCAAGTACAAAATAAAGGCAAGTGCTTCCCGCACTGCTCCACCCAACGTTACAAATTTGCAATGACGGGACTATCTGTCCCCAAGATTGTAAGCACTACAGGTAATTTACAACGACAACACTAAATTGCACGAATGGCGATCTACCATACATGACCCGCAACAGCGGATAGGGATCGACCAACGAAGCCTCGCCGTGTCTACGACGGCGCACCTACCAACACGACTGCAATAGGAAACCAGCCAACAACTCGCCCCCGGCATCAAGGGACTCCACAATTGCACAACACACTTCCTAGCTGCTCGGCCGCTCACGAATGGCCTTCGCTATTTCCAACAATGCGTGGCACACGAGTTTGCTGACTTCGTCTGACGCGGCATAGTGCTTCCTTTGCACTTCCACCTCCGCTTCCAACGCCTCGCACTGTCGGACCTGGATAGAGCATTGCCGCTTGCTTGCACTCTCCATCGTCGACGCCATTAGCTCCCCGTGTTTCTCCATGCATTCCGTCCGCGCCTCGAAAGTCTGCTGCCTCGCGCTCTTCCTTTTCCTAGAACCGCCGGGGGTGCCCGTCGTCTGCGAAGAGCCTCGCGTCGACCCCTCCTCGTCGTCTTCTCGTCCTGCACCTCCTTCCCCGTCCGCCACCAATTCAGGATCCACGTAAGACGTTGAAGGCGGGCGCACGCCGCCAGACGCACCGGTGTCTGCCACGTTCTTCGGGTGGATGGTGTGGTTTATCCTAGTCGACCCCTCTATCTCGTCATAAACTGCGCGATCCATCGTGAAATTGAAGCCCCTGCTCGCCCTCTGACAACTGGAAAAAGTCTGCACCCCCTGACGGTGATTGAAAGTGATGGACTTTCTTGAACTACTGCATTAGATTGTCCCACTTCTTCCCGCATTTCTCCGCATTCCTGTCCACGCCGACGTTCTTCAACCTTTGGGCGACGTCTTGCCATTTCCATTCCTGCGGTTTCATCCGTGCGTATGCGTGCCCCATCCCCTGCATATGCGCATCTTGGTCACGTTTAGCCCTTATGAGGGCTATAATGTGTTCCACGGACCAGAAGTTGCGCTTCTCCTCCGCATCACCGTCGCCTTCGCCACCGCTCCCCTTTCCCTGCCCTTTCTTCGCCCGCGGACGAGCATTGCGGCCGGAAGGCTTGGACTTCCCACCCTTACCAACCATGTCGCTCTGCAACGATGGCGACGCGTGACCACCCCCCCCTTCCCCACAGTCTACGTCGTTGTCGTCGTCGTCTGCTTCCGCCGGTGGATCGTCCGTCTCCTTCTCGTTCTCCCGGTCTCCCACGTGAAGACGCTCCACCCCCAGTGTGATGTATTCCTATCGCCGCAGTCGGTGATCCCGCCGCAGGTCCCTCCACACCTCCCTCCCGTCGCGACCATCACCAACATCCAAGAAGTCGGTCCCGCCGTCGACTCCGACGCCACGGCCTCGTGCCACTTCCGACGCCGTAGACAGGGGAGATGGCAACTGCATCCACTCCGGCCGACCCCTGGGCGCCCTTGGACAGAGAGGCCGCCCGTGGTTGGGCCGTCGACGAGTTCTGGTTCGCTCCCGCCGTCTCACTCGCCAACGCCCTCGTCCTCGCTGATTGATCAACAACTGTCAATTGCCCGCCTTCGTCGCTGGGGTGGGGTCGCACGAGCACTGTGCGCGATGGAGTTGTAGACCGCCCGGTGGACAAACCAAACGACACGTTGACGCGGCCATCTCCTTCATCTTCGCCAAGGCCAGGTCGAAGGAGTTCAATGAACGACTGCTCGTACACGCCGCCGCCCGTCCCGCACAGCTCCGTGGCTGTCCACTCCTGCGTTGATCCGCTGCCCAACGACACGGTTTGTGGCCGTCTCTCCACCTCCTCCTCCTCGTCTGATGAGCCGGGGAGTGGTTGCAAGTGCGGTGGCAATGCATCATACCCAACCCGCTGGGAGGCCCTGCCAACGGTCGACAGGCTCCCCCCGCACCGCCTCCCTCCGACCTGCTCCCCACCGGACTGGGGGATCGCCTGCCGTGCCTCCATCCTGGCGTCCTTCATCGAAGACCTTGTTTTGCGTCGACGCGGCGGCACGTTCCCAAGGATGCACACGCGGAAGAGAACCACGAGGAGAAGCAACAGGACAACGAGGAGCAGCAGCGGCAGCCTGCGGAACACGTCAGCCATGAAACAGTCGACGACGACGGCAGCAAGTGGAAGACAACGCGGGCGCCAACATAACAGCGGAGAGCAGTACTGCAAACGGCCGTCCCGACTTCGCAACAAACCCCCGAGGACGTCTTCGGTCTCCCACGGCCAGTGCGTAATTGGGAGCGGGAGTCCGGCCTGAAATATTCATATCTGCCGACCGTTGGGACATTCCCGCGGATTGCCAAACGCAACGACGCAAGACGGCACCTTCTGGATGTCGGGGATGCCGGTTGGCCGCAAACGGTAACCGTTAGAGTGAAGCCGAACGTTGGCGACCCAACATGTCCGTGGAGACGCAGGCAGGACCACCGATGTACCAGACGGAATTGAAAAATGTCGTCGAAGGAGCTGCCGTCGACGCCCCGATTCTTCCGGAAGCTCAACCTCTGAGGGACCTCGGGAGGTCCCTTGGAGAAATCGCCAAAATGGCTGTGGCCCCGAGGAATCCCCGAGGAAATGTTTTCACATTTTCTTTTCCGCGTCTTCCCCGAGGATGAGTGGAACGAGCATTTTCTTGGGGAATTTCGGGCCCCGAGGAGTGTCGAACGAGGCCCTAAATGAAAGTGAGTGTAGGTTCGTGTACAGTGGGCCATTTCTATTGTCCATTGTGTACATTTTGTCCATTGTGTATATTACAGCCTTGTGCAGGCATGGATGCTGTAAGTTGTAAAGTGAGATTAGAGATTTGTGGGTTGTGAGTTGTGAGTTGTGAGTTTTTTTTTTTTTTTTTTTTTTTTTAACTTCACATGTGGGAAACCTACTTAACAAGGTGATAAGAGCAGCCCCGTTAAGTAGGCTCCTGCGTCGAAGGCTCCATCTATTGGTGGGGAGCTGCACCTGCTGGAAATCGGGTCCAGCGTCCCTTTACATCAATATTCTTTTTTGGCTGCAAACCGGGTGCAGCGTCCCACAGGAAATCTGAAGAATTGGTCTGATTAAAACACTGATATATGAGTTGTGAGTGACATGCACAAAAGACAAAAATCATGTCGCTGTGTCTTTCCATGTTCTAGCGGAAGATTCACTCTCGACTTGCACATTTCGAGAGTAGTGGAGCGGGGCAAGACAGGAGTGAATCTTCTGCTAGAACATGGAAAGATGCACTGCCACGAGGCCCCAAGGATGACACGCATAGGTCGGGAGATTTTAGAAGGAGAAAAAAAAAGAGAAAAAAAAGGAAATTTTAGAAGGAGAAAAAAAAAGAGAAAAAAAAAAGAAAAGAAACTGGGTTGTTGTCAGCAGGTGTCTCCCCTAGGGCCTCTGCATCTTTATCAGCCCGTGTATCCCGCTGGGCCTTTGTATTCCGGTTGCACAAAAGACAAAAATCATGGCGCTGTATCTT